TGGACGGAGCAGATGAATTGCTAAGAAACCTTGCTAAGTCCGAGTTCAAAGGAGACATTGAATACCATGCAAAGAGATTCCAGGAAGGAACCCGTGAATGGGTCTTCAAAAGAGTTGACGACTGGCTAGATGACCGATCTTCCCCAAACCGAGTGATGGTAATAAGTGGAAGTGCAGGGATGGGAAAATCAGTTATCTCTGCGATCACATGCAAACGAATGCAAGAGGCTGGTAGACTTTCAGGGAGCCACTTTTGTCAGCATAACAATGTACGTTACAGGAAACCTCAGCTAATGCTTCAGTCCTTGGCCTGTCATCTCAGTCGCGCTCTACCAGAGTACAAGAAATCTCTCGTGGAACAGCTGTCAAGAAATCTGGGCCCGGTAGACCTCAACAACATGGGCGTGGAAGACCTATTCGCGTTACTTTTCAAAGAACCACTTAACATTGTAGAAGACCCGGGAAGAAATACCCTAATGGTGATAGATGGACTGGACGAGAGTGAGTATCAAGGACGTAATGAGCTTCTCGATGTGATTGCAAATCAGTTCTCCAGGCTTCCTCAATGGATTCGATTTTTTGTGACAACCCGATCAGAAATTAACATCGCAGACAGCCTGAAGCATTTGCAGCCCATACATCTTGATGAAAATCAGGAAGAGAACTTGAGAGACATTCGGTTTTTCTTTGAAATGCGGCTGAGTCCCAAGATTGCGGAAAAGCAAAAAGATCTTCTTTACACGAAACTGGTTGAGAAGTCTGAAGGCGTTTTTCTTTATGCTTATTTCCTGGTAGATCACATCCAAGAGAATGTTCCACTTCTCACCCTTGAGCAGCTAGAGAGCATTTTACCGTTGGGTATTTCGTCCGTTTATCTTTCCCATTTCAAACGGTTAGAGAATGAACTTCGCAAAGAGCTGAAGATGGACGAAGACCAAGTAATGAAGTTTTTGTGTGCCTTTACCGTTTCAAGAGAACCAATGCCAATAGCGTTTGTTTCAAGACTATTAAACCCTGGTGGAAAGTCGTTGTCTGCTCAACGAAGAATAAACAGAGCAATCGCCTGCATCTCTTCCCTTTTACCGATTCGCAATGATTGTCTTCACTTTTTCCACAAATCGATCAAAGACTGGTTGACGAACACCTTGTGCTATGGACGACATGATTTCATCGTGGACGAGAAGGAAGGCCACGAGATTCTCTTCGAACTTTGCAGGAATGAGCTTGACAATATCAAGCGAAAGGCTGTACATGATTCCACCTTCAGTGACACTGAAAGGTACGCCTTGCAACATGGTGTCCAGCACATGATTGAGCTGATCGGATTGGGTGAAAGTCCAAGACCTTGTAATGTAGAAGAGCTGATTAATGCGTATGTGACCGATTTGGAGCTCATTTATGCCAAACTTTGTGTGAACAACACGGCTTCCTCTGAGGATATTTCCAGTGTTCAAAAGTACATTAAGCCAACCTTGCTCAGTGAGCCAAGTCAGTCTCTTTTAATTTCTTTGATAAAAGTGCTTAGAAAACACTCTTATTTGTTAAGAGAACATCCCCTACTTTGGTTCCAAAGTGTGATCAATGACGGACCTCCTGAGCTATCATCTGAAGCCGCAACCATCCTCGAAAACAGGCTTCCCACTGTGCCGTACTTTAAATACTTAAACAAGAAAGAAGAAAATGGAGCAGTTCAAGCCCGATTTTACTGTTCAGACACGGTGGCGTGTTTTGATGTTTCACCTCAAATGGACTACATGGTGTGCGAATGCCGCGATGGAACAATCCACTTGTGGTCTCTCGAGACTGGTAACTTGGAATGGAGCCGACCTTCGTTAATTGATAGAGAGTTTCAATATGTGCATCCTAAAGGTGATGTAGTTCGTGATGGAGGCGCGTATCGTAGAATAAATTCTAGAATTCTGACATTTTACCGTTCTGTGGTTTTTCATCCAAGTGGTATGTCTGTTCTACCGGGGACCCTCAGAAGTGCTTATACTCTCGAAGGAGACTGCAATTCCCTTTATCCTGATAGTAACTGCACATTTTCACATTGTGCTTTTCCTACAGACAAAAAAACCATTTTGACAGACCGTTTTGATGATCCAAAGGAAGTTGTTTTGTGGAGTATGGAAACTGGCCAAGAGCTAAGGCGCATAGCTTGGAGTGATGTTATTACATCTTTTGCTATTTCCCAAGATGGTTTACAAATTGCTTTTGCTGACGTGACTGGTTCCATCTACCTTGATGTGGCTGAAGGACAAAGACAACATTTGTTGAAGTGCGACGTGGCATGTGGTATGATGCACTTCACACAAGACAACAAGGCCCTTGTCTGTGGTTACCTCTCTTATAGGATAGAAGACGGCATCGGATATGGACAGTTTGGTTGGGTGTCTTACCGCAATCCGGTGTTGATCCTTCGTCGACTCAAAACTACCTTTCCACCTCCACGTGGAGTAGACTTCGTCTTGTGGCCCATTGAACAAAAGATCCAGGCTGGGGAATATGTTTTCGATGACGGTTTACTCTTGGGCAGGGTAAAAAACGTGCACAGTGTTTTTCCATCGTTAGAAACAGGATTCTACAAATGGCTTGATAATGGAACAGCATTGGTTGGTAGCCCATCGTTCAAGTACGTCGCGGCAATTCATGTTGGCTCGCTAAGTAAAGTGAATTATGCTTTCGCCAGACAAGTGGTCGAAAAAGTTGTATTTTCTTCTGAAGGAGATGTCATTTATTCCATTACCTCAAAAGATGAAGGTAGTGCCAGTGCGGTTCTAGTGACCGTATTCCGAATGTCAAGCCAAGAAATCTTGGTGGAAAAGTCTTTCACTTGCCCATCACTGTCGCTTGTCCCCGTGAAGGAAGGTGTTGTACTATGTTTGAAGCATAAAGTACCCGAGCTTTGGAATTTTGAGCTGACCGAGTGTATCCGACAAATTCCCAAACTAAAGGGAACTGAAAAGCTTATTCGTTTATCAGATGAGCTGATAGCCTGTGAATGGTACCGTCGTATAATAACACCTGAAGAATTATCAGATTTTGGTTATCCATCAGAGATAGAGGATTCCCTGGAACTACGTGCGGAAGATGACTCAATTGAAGAAAACGAAGCTCTACATCTCGCTAACTTCACCGATGAAGAAACTTCAGACGATTCATCAACGACAGACTCTTCTGTAGAATTCAGAGATTTTGTGATTAAAACATTTAATCGTTTATTCCTTGCGCTTTTTGTGGACATCGTCAACGTTACCAGTGGAGAGTGTGTTTCATCTATAAAGGCAAGGGTTTGCCCCAACGACGATGCATTTGTTTCATGCAATAGTCAGAACCAGCTGCTAGTTTGCAACTGCGAGGAATTAGACGATGACTTTTTTGAGGGGGAACAGTTAACCCTTAGTTTAAGAAACAACAACTCCTCTTCCTGTGTATGGAAAAGAAAAGACGAGCGGTACGACACTCGTTCTTTTACGCCATATTTCATGTTCTCCCCTGATGGAGAATTTGTAGTGACGTGGGCTTCCTTCAGTTCAGGCTATGGAGTGCACATTCTTGATGCAAAAACTGGAGAAACACAACGCACCTTGCTCAAAGACCAAGATGACATTGTTGATTGTAAGTTCGTTGTTAATTGCGAGTCTCTGGTTTGCTGCAGTAAGGACAACTTCCTTCGATTGTTTAACATCAGGTCTGGTGATCAACTCAGCGTGCTAGACATTGAGGAGCAACCCTGCTGTTTAGGAGCCTGTTTGGACAAGCCTCTTGTCGCCATTGGCTTATGGGGCGCCAGATTGAAATTCGTGCATGTCGAGTTGCCAGGTGTCCAGGACTCTGAAGGGAAGAAAGGTGAGAAATCATGGCTTCATGATACTGTTCTGAGTGATTTCTTTTGGCCAGTTCTATCATGTATGGCTGATAAATAGGTAGTTAGCCTGCGTCGCAGACAGTCTAAACCAGTAGTATAGTCCGTCTGGGCAAAGGTTCCCGGGAGCTTGTTCCGATGTCCCGCAGTTTTGCAGGGATATGTGTATCCATTTCTGATTGGCTAGTTGCCTACGCGTGGTTAAAGTCTTGCAAAATCGATTGCTCAACTCGCGCAATGCCAAAAATGAATTTGTGTTTAGTTTTCAGGAGTAGGCAATAAGCACATTTGTACGGTATTAACACATCAAAACTACCTTGAGTTGGAAGTAAGATGTCTGCCGTTAAAGAAGAAAGTTGACAAAAAGCATTCAAAGCCGTGAAAGAGAAGTTTGAAACTGATTATCTTGTACCTGAACAGAAAAACACTCTTCGCGAATTTCTTTGAGGTTAAAATATCTTTGTAAATTTGGCGACAGGCTACGGTACATCTTTGATTTTCCAGTGCCTCCGGATCGCTGCAGATTCTCTGTTCGAGAAGCCTCGTGGCTACAATGTTCTCATTGTTATATCGCCATTACGATTACTTATGGAAGACCAGATTCGTCATCTTGAAGATCTGGGAGTGCCAGCGATCGCATTTCGGTGTGAAAATTAATGGGGTTGACGGGCCTACAAAACTTCTAAGATTCGTGGCATTTGTGCATTTGCCGTTCTCTTTTAATTTTCGCTCTCTCGACCTCTCTTTGTTTCATACGTGTTTCCGAAGGGCACATCATACTCTGTTATTAGGATTAATGTTCTGTACCGGTAGAGTCGTTTGATTTTGCTTTAGCAAATTTTATAGAGGTCATAGGTCTTCATGGTTACCGCTCATATCTGCATGTTGCTTCGCAGAGTCTGACCATTCAGTAATTTGCATTGAGCTTATACTATGTTTAGGCTCATTTCTACTCTAAGATAAATTTGAAGGTTTCGAAGTATTGGTTTTCGAGGGGAAAAGGTTTCAACAACTATTCTGCTTAATTCATGTATTTGACTGAAGTTACCATCTGTTTTATATCAATTGCAAGGCTAACATTATCAAGTAAACCCAAAACCCCAACATGTATACATACATGACTAAAGAACTTCCTAGTGATTGCCAAGAACACCTCGGAAGACTGCTAGTTTGATTTAAACTTCGAATCCAGGCGATCCCTGTTGAAAACTCTCTGAGGACAGGTGACAAGAAAAACGTAGGTCTTACCTTCTGATTTCAGTCTGTTCTTTAATCCTGATAAATTTTGTCCTGGTGTTTCAGCTCTACTCCCGTCATTATATCAAAGTTTATTTTTACCGCACTCTTTCGAAAAGAAATTCGATAACGTGTCTAGAAGAACCTCAGTCCCGAATATGTATGTATTATTATGGGCACTCAAAGCCTTGGTCTGCAATTTTCAAACGTTTAGCTGCAGCTTGGGTTCTACTCGCAGTCACTACATGTACATGTTTCTGTCTTTTGCAGGTTCCCTTACCAAACAGAAGTGAACTGGATCTGATGCATCCTGTACTTGTTACAGTCAGTTGCTGGAACGAGATTACAAAGCAGCAGAGTGATTTCCGGAACTCATGGTGTGTTTCAGTGATGCCAGTTGAGTCCGAGACTATGAAACATGTAGAACATGTTCCTGTACATTTTAGATGGAATTTTTCAAGGAACTTTGTAAAATAATTAACTACTTCGTATAATCTTTTTTTTTTTGGAATATCTAAGGAGCAAAGCTATGTTAGGACGATGTAGTACGGTTCAATGGGCCATAGTCTTAAGAACTTACATGTAACGAAAAAACTTGTTGTCTAAGTCATATCTGATACCCGAAGACGTGGAAATGAATTTTCTATTTTTGTACAAGTCTAGTGATTTTCAGCTCAATTAAAACGAACGCATTTGCTAGTAACAGTATCTGAATTGGTTTTAAATGTATACGCACAAGCACTGGGATCATAAGAGCCAACCTTATCATCTCAATCCTATGAAGTGTTCTCATTAGATTACATAGCGTGATAATATCAGGGTACCGAATAGTGGTACGTTTTGATTTTGACCTCGGGAGTTAGTCTTATTTAAACCAGGAGAATAAACGAATATCGGATACAGGATTATTTGTTGGCATTATTATTTTCAATAGCATAGAATTACATTAATTACTATGGGTAATCAAATGGTGACGAGTGAGATATGGAAATAATTTCACGTACGTTTTGTCAAAATTTTTACAAAGGCTTAGCGAAATTGTTAGAATTTTGACAAAACGCAGGTGAAATTATTTTCATATTTCGCTAGTATACCATTTGATTAACTCTTAATATCGTAGGTGACGAATTACAATTACAATCGTGGGTTTTTTACTTTTCCATTGTATCGAGATATTTCGCGCCAAACGTTGCCATGGCGATTTTGGAGTTTCACATGTGAAATATAAACCCATGATATTATACATTAAAATCAGTCGAATTTACTTAGGGAATCACTAAAGTGCTGAAACGTAGCCGCTAAACTTCGTTTGGAGCTGGGCCAATCTTAAGTTGGTCACGTGAATTAAAACGTTGGTCACGTGGGCACCATATATTCCTTGGTAGAGCCAACCAAACCTAATGCTTTATGACTTTTCCATGCTTTCCGCTCAAAACAGCGTGAAACCCTCAAATTAAATTAAAAACCTGCC